CTCACAGAAAGCCAGCCAGGCTGAAGCTGCTACTGCTGTCCACGTGAAACTCACTTCACCTGGTGCCACATCCACCCACAGGTAAATATCACAGTAAGATGCTACATTATAAACATGTCATGGAGAGATCAAGTTACATGCACTGACTCACAAAACATATTGATCTTCACGGAAATAATGTCAACAACAATAATAATAATGTCAATAAGCTCAATAATTGAAACAATCTTGCTAATCTTATTTTATTTAGTGGTTTTACTGGTGCACTCCCAGCTGTCCTCATTCTGCTCAGTCCTGTGTTGGTGGACTCTCACTCCTGCTTGAGTCACCATGATTAGTCAGTGTCTTACCTGAGAGAAGATTGGCTGACTGAACTAAAGGCTGGGGCCATTTTCAACTATTTTTATATGTGAATGTGAGGCTCATGTTTGTTTGTTTTGTAATTCTTAAATATTATTCATATTTATTTTGGTTTACTTAATTTCATATTTATATTCCAGGTTGAAGGTGCAGTCCAGTCTCGTGTTGGTTCTGTTCCACTCGTGTCTCGTGCTTCACAGCTCGTGGGTGAATTTCTGCTCTTGTTACCTTGAACCATCCTTTTGTCTTTTAGTTCACTGAACACTGGAAATAATATTTATTTTAGGAATCATTATTGCCTCCATTAGAATAGGTTTTTAACTTAGTGTTAATAAAATGTATATTGTATCTTGGAACAGTCTCCTGTTTACTTGTAAACAAACCCAAGAGTCTTTTCTGTATAAATTATGTCCTTGGATGAAAGTCCCAAGGTCGTGCTGCAGTAAGTTTATAAAATAAAATAACATCCATACCCAGCTTGTTACATATTGATCTAGTGTTATGTAATTAGTTATTTAAAGGTTTTGAATTATTTTAAACATTCTTCAATTAAAACACACTTGAGCAGCAAACTGTACAGTTTTTATTTAATTTGTGGATTGATTCAGTTTTATTGAAAATAAAACAAGTGTAATTTACAATATCTAGTAAAAACAAAAAAAACAACTATTTAACATTTTATAACTGTACACTATAAATTGATAGTGGATTATAGATATTTTTCCAAAATTTTTCAATTTCATTTTAAAGAAATTGGCACCTTTATGTATTTTTCATGAGTAACAACTATTTACAGTATTTACAGTGATTCACAGCTTGAGACTGAATATTAAAAACGTGAAGGAACAAAAGTGATTTGTACATTTTATGATTCTGACTGCGTTGATATAAACACATGGATGAAGGTGTTGAAGTAAAACATGTCAGCAGACTCCACACTTCTTCTGCAACATGGAAACAGCAGTAAGCCTTGGTTGTAGAAGCTGCACCCCTGCAGAACATCTGGACTGAAGATGTTTCCAGAGACACGTGCAGAGACTGAAGATGTGAAGTGTGGACACAAAACATGTTGGGAAGACTGCAGCCTCAGAGGAAGAGCAGGGAAGTGTGGAGCCATGTGGTCCAGAATGAAGCTACGCAGGACTTCTCAGGTGGACACTGGTAAAACATCTGTGAGCCCTGTGGCACAGGACCACATCTGGATGGTACCAGCTCCAAACTTAGGACGAGCGATAAGTGGTTGGGACTCCAGTTGATGTAGTTTTTCTCCTGCTGTCACCCAGTGAGATCTAAAATAGATAACTGTTTTTAGCACATACATATAATAATTGTTATATTTAGCTTTAAACAAGTAACAGATTGTAGTTTGAAGATGAGCTGAAACATCAGCAGAACAAAACAGACTGCTGCTACAACAAACAGTAACCAGTGAACAGGAAGATGTTACTGTGAGCTCCCAGTACAGAAGTTGTCCATGGTACGTCAAAGTTCTTCAGCTGTCATAAATAAAGCATCTAGCTCTGACAACTACCTGTCCCTCCACAATATTTGACCTGTACTTATGCAGAAGTAAAGTACAATTTGAACATCGAGCATCACAGCATCTTATAACTAACATCTAGTGTGTTTTCTTTCACAAATTGTAATAACAAGCACATATCAGAATGTTAAAATATCAGTTAAAAGTTTATACCACGTCTGTCTCAATTACTCCAAATCATTCAGCTCACTAAACTAGGCTTTATTAAGATGTTTATGTACTTCATGTGTTGTAGCTAACGGTTATCTCACTAAGTTACGTCTTTTCTTACCTTGATAGCTGTGGATATATTCTTCATGGAAGAACTTTTATCCTTTCTCAAGTTTATTGGTTCAAGAATTCACCGCTGTGATTTCCTCCACATCAGAAAAAGAAAAGGCCGACACTTCCACAGACTCGCAGTAACAGGAAGAGACCCAGCACCAGGAGACGACACTTCCCGTTGTCGTGGAAAAGGTCTATTTCCCTCAAAATACGATAATTTTATGTCTCTACTACGATAATCCTACATTTCTCACCTGGCAACACTGGCAGGGGGACGGAAGAATGAAAGTGAAAGATGAGAAACTGAAGCTGATTCACGTGTCTGCTTATCTTTCCTTTAATTCAATCTTGCAACGCTAACATCATATTATCATATTTATCTCTTTAACCGATGCAGAAACTCGTATCCATGCCTTTGTCTCGACCTTTGACCTCTCTAAGTGTCTTTAAGAATCTGTTGGACTCCTGGCAGGGACCAGTGCAGACATGTTCCTGTTTTTAGTTTTCTACATTCACCTTAGAATCTAGCTGTTTTTTGTTACTTTTCTTTTTTTAGCCTTCCTAAAAAAAATCTGTAAGACTTTTAGAACTGTTTATTGTTGTCATCATTCCTTGTTAAACCAGGTCTCTGTTGTAAACGAGTCCTCGAGGCTCAATGGGACCTACCCGTCTAAATAAAGGTTGAATGAATGTCTCGTCATCTTGATTATTGTAACTCTTTATTTTCTGTCCTCGTTGTTTTGGCTCCCTGTGGTTTTTAGAATTGACTTTAAAATGTTAGTTTGTTTTTAAATCCCTGGATGGTCTTACACCGTCACATCTATGTCAGATCTTAAATCTGTTTTTACTTTCCACGCCCAGAGCTCGACTGGTGACAGGAGGTAGAGCGTTCATGGTCAGGGCTCCTATTTGTGGAACGCTCTTCCTCTAAACATTAGACAGGCCTCTTCATCGTCTTCTTTTAAATCATTAGTTCAAACTTACTTGTTTATTAATAAGGCTTTTAATATCTGAACTTTTTTATTTTTTTCTCTCTTCTTATGTTGTTATGTATTTTAATTACTTTGTTAAACTTTTGTGTTTCTGATGTCATATATAATGTTGTTTTAATTAATTAATGCGAAGCACTTTGTAACATTTGTTTGAAAGGTGCTTTATAAATAATTATTATATTAGCTCTGTCTCCATTCACCTCTCTGTTAACTAGGGGTTGCACGACTTCATATTTTTTTAAGTCGACTTCAACACGATAAGTCGAGTCGACTAGTCACTGTGACGTCATAGGAACTCAAGACGCTATATCATATTTGCAAAAAAACTATATTATTTATAACAAAAAAAAAAAGAACAATAAAACATCTGGACCGTATATTTATGCTCCTACAATTTAGCATACTGCAAATAAGTCATAAGAAAACCAAAACTATTATTAAGCTGCAAAAGTGAAAGAAACGTGGGGCACGTAAAAACTAAAAACGGGTGCGGTCGAGGTAGTGCACGGGCAGCACTGGTCTAAAGACCAGCGGTCCCAGATCAAAGCCGACCTGGACCCAGCATGCAATCATCACAAACAAACTCTAGCTACACTCCTGCAAACATTCTGGACCTGTCCCAAACTACAGACTTTTTGGGGGGGGGCAATGTCCCGGGGGGGGGGGGGGGACCTGGGGAACATGTTTTTTTTTTTTTTGCCACAGGGAGTAATTTTTTTTTCTTCACCATTCTCATTTTGTCTCGTGTGTTCCAGCTGTTTGCTCGTATCTCTCAGACTCTCCAATAATAAAGTTATGAACAAATAACTGTTGTTGTTTTGGAGCCATGCATGAACCGTGTCCCTCCCCTCTGCAGCGGAGACATAGACTCCAACACCTCCGCTGCACGTGGTTTATGTCCACGCGCTCTGGACGTCACTCACAGCGCGCAGGCGACAAAGAGTCAACTCAAGCAAGAGAGTTACCTGCTCCTCTTTCCTGCTGACAACATTTTTTAGTTTTATCGATGAGTGCGCTCATCGATCCCGACTTCCTCATTTTGATGAAATTTAAAAAAATCAGCAAATTGTTTTATTCAGTTTTGTAGGTCAAAGTGTTTTATAAAACACTCCCGAGTTAAAATGTTGCTGATCCATTTGAATTTATTATTATTTATTGATTATAATTTCATTTTTCAGTACCAAATGGTCAAAAATGTTTAGTTTAAATAAGGATTAGTTTTTATTTTCCAGGCAAACTGATGCACTTTGTTTCTGTTACAAAGTAAAATAATGTTAATAAAGTTATTCGTTGTAAGTTGATCTATATATATATATTTATTTAATGTTAAAAAGGACAAATGTTATGCAGAGATGTACTTATAATAATTATATAGACAAATGATACAGTCGTGGCAGAGAGTTGGGGGGCGCAAAATGTTTACATCTTCCTAGGTGGGGCGTAGCAGAAAATATATGAGAAGCACTGGTTTACAAACGAAGCACTGGTTTACAAACGAAGCACCGGTTTACAAACGAAGCACCGGTTTACAA